TTAAATTAAACTTTTATGAACTTTTAATAGGGTAAAATGATTTCTGCTCAATGTACAACATTTCTAAGATGCCTTATTCATTATATTTAATCAACTCAACACAAAAAAAAAAAATAAATAAATAAATAATAAGGAAAGGGAAGAAAAGAGAAAATAAAAAGCAAAAAGCTTTGCAAAAAGCAAAAAAAAAAAAGGTCGTTGAAAATACGAACGAATAAATGAATAAGCGAACAAAACACATTCCAAAAAGTGGCCACAAATCATTCTCACTTACCGAGAATCAATTAAACTAACGGTTCAGCAAAAAAAAAAAAAAAAGAAAGTGCTGAACAGAGCAGAACAAAAGTTTAATTCATTATTAGTTGTCCCTCTCTTTTCTGTTGCAAACATCATTCCTTCTTCTCCCCTTTCCTTCCCCCATGTTTTTATTACCACTTATATGTATCTATACACCTGGACAATGAACTAACTCAAAAATTCTGCCAGAAACAAGAAAATAACTGACTACAACTTCATTAATATGTATCCCATAAAACAGGTGTATTTTATAATGCTTTCTTTTTTTCTTCATGTCTTTTTTTTTTCTTCTTTCTTTTTTAGATGCCATTTGTATTGAAGGTTTATAAAAATAAATGCAGTTCTACAAAATACGTAAACAATTATTATACCTAAAAAACAATGCAATAATTTTTGGTTTTTAAATAAAGCCACAACAACTACAATCTGCGTAATCAATAATACATTTCGAGAAACTGTTATCTGAATATAACTTTGCAAAAAAAGACTTCATTTTCAAAGTATAGTTGCTTGAACTTTGATCTTCTTACTACCACAGACTAATATGCTATTCGCAAGAAAAAAAACCACAATTACCTAAATGATACTTTTGGCAGGTCAATACAATTTTTTTTCACCTACACCTGGTAACGTCATTTCATCTTCAGTGATACTGCTTCTGTATAACAACAGAGTAATGAAAATTTTGAAATATTATTCGAAACATAAGGCTTATAGAAGGTTAACATTAACCTGATTACTTTGCGGTCCAAACAGCGCTTTCCACAGCCTATTCATAGTGATCTGTAAAAGCCAAACGTCGAATTGATCGAGTTTATTTCAAACTGATTCTAAAATCTGCGTTATAAAAAGCGTTGAACATTAATTAACCAAAGGTCGTTGTCACAGAACAGCCTAGAAATACAACAAAATTACAGTATCTATCAGAAAATGAAGATAATTCTTTAGAAATATCGCTTTGCCAACTTTAGAATAGCAATGATAATCCAAAAAAAGAAAAAAAAAAACCACGCTGATACTTCAGGATATGAAGGCAGCTGTAAATTTTGGAACGTTAACGATCTTTCTTGTTTCAACAATGTACGCGTGTCGACGATGGTTTGAAGGCAGGGCGCAGAATTGTCTCGAATTGGTAACAACGCACACACTGAATGGTCTTTGCTGTTTTGCTGTTCATCAGACGGTTTCCGCACCACTTATAGTCATCTGCTTTTATTTCTTCTTTTTTTTTTCCTCTTTCTCTTTTTTTTTATTCTGTCACCAAATTTTTACATTATCGGTTAATTTTGCCAAAAAAAAAAAAAAAAAAAAA